TTAAAAGTGCAGTGTCACAACCTAAATATTGTACCAATTAAATAAACTGCAGGGATAAAGTGAAATAAACTCACAACGTTGCCTTTTAGCCTCTTTACAATTGAAGTGTGTGGGATTTGTCTTTAAAAAGGGCACTTCTAATGGGGAGGTAAATCAGTGATGCCAAGGTATAATGTCTGTTCACGGGGTCATAATGAATAGACCCTTTTGTACAACTTGGTTATACCATGACTTGCTAGGTGGCTATGTAGCCAAGTGGTTAGCTCAAGTTGCCAACTAGGCAGTTTGCACGTAGTGGACACTCAGTCCCATGGGTGCCCCTCTAATTCAGTTGGAGCATTCAAAATAAAATGACTACGTAAGAAAATAGTTACAAATGAAAACCTTCGTCGCACAAAGTCAAGGAATGAAGACGATAGTGCTGGTCTCCCCCAGCTCCAGTGGGTGCGTGAACACCACTCATGCAACCCCCGCTGACTTGGCTGCCCAATTGAGGATGTCCAGATGCCAGAAGCAGGCGAACACACAGATTTATGTGGGCCATCATAAACCGACCCATTTGTCCTGGCACCGATGGGTGTGGCAGCGTGCTTGGTGGACCTCGCCTGAAGCTCCATGCATGAAAAAGCAATCCGACCCAATTTGAAGTGCAGCCCCAGGCAAGCGAAGCATTTGGGTGGATTTGGCTGCTTTTTGTGATCTGCCACACTCGGCACACTCTCGCCTGCCTACCTGTTGCATGCTCCGGTGTAACAATTTGACACGGCGTCTTGCGCTGAACGATTTCCTCCGCCACAAACGAAGTCCCATCAAAGGTGGAAAATGTGCGCTGTGATCCCAGCGAAAATATAACACCGGCGAATAAACAGCAGCCACTTAAAAGAAAAACGTGGCACTCACTTCCTTGGAGCACAAATAAATATGTGGAGCAGATCTCTAGAACTGTTTTTCGTGGGAGCAGTATGGAAGAACAGGATGTATCATTGTTCGGGTGATGTAGAGACAAAGCTGTCAAACCCTAGTGCCTTGACCATGTGCAATGAGAATGATCACTTTGGTTGTTATTTGCTTTGTAATAATGTGGTTGATCATTGCTGTCGTGTTTGTTTTGTAACCTTCTGGATGCCATTTCAAACCCATTGGCATCTGATTGCGTGTACTCACAAGTGGGAGTATCATTGGCCAAGATTATTTTACGAGCTCTGTAGGCTGAGTCTTCCCACAGCTAAGCAAATAAACTATCCCCTTGGTGTGTGCAGACAAGGAAACATATTTGAGACAATTTTTGAGTAAAAAATTACTGCAATGAGTTCCTTCTTAAAATGATACATTCACTGGATTGACGTGTATCGTGTGTCGACCTGTGTGTGTGTAGTGACATAGAATCGGTCACGTAGCAGCTTAGCGCTGCCTGTTGGCAGGGAAAGGGATCTGCAGCTTGCAGCAATCCTGACTGACAGCAGGCCACGTGATAGACCGGAGAGGGATGTAAGGGAAAGGTTACGGAAGGGGCACATCGAGAACCCGCGAGTAGGTTCCAGAAGGGGGATGTGCCTGGGGGGCGGAGCCAGGTCGCGCTGACAGTATAGGAGGGGCCCCGGGAGGGGACCTCGGGGCTGTCGTTTGGAGTTGGATCCCCGTCGTGCTGCTGCTGGAGTCTTCACCGTCGTCTCCGTCTTCACCATCTCGGCGTCGCCAGTCAGGCAGTCTGCCAGCTGTCCTGACTGGGAACTTTAGTTACTAAGTGTTACTGTCAGGTCGTGTTAATAAACCAGAGTGCCTACTACTCTTAGTGTCGCTGAGACACTACATGTGTATAAATTCGCGCTTACGGCCAACACCAGTGACGATTATTTTATTCGGTCCTGGGTCTCCCCTAGGTCAACTCAGCCTCAAATGAGTACCTGGTACGGTGTATAAACATCGCCACTAGGGACACAGAAGTGGCCGGGCGTGGTGCTGGCCACCCACCCCCTCGTGTGCCATGCTGGCCTTCATAGGTGCTTGCTAACAGCACTTTCCCCAACAGTCTGTTAACGCTATACGGGGTATCTTTGTCTTTGTATAGACACTGCCATGTATTCTGCAGTGCCCCACAGCTGAACAATTTTTTGCCCATATATAAATATGGTACAACCTCACATGTCCATCCGATGATCACCACTCTCCAATTCCCGTAGTGTGAGGGCGCATTTAAACCCAGTTTCAGAAACAGCTGCAGTGGGGGAGTCCACTAGTCAAGCGTTACGACATCAGCTGATGACCGCAGTGGCAGCAGGCAGCAACAGCAGGCACCTCCCAATCATGCTGTCATCCGCCCACCTTACCATGCACCTGCGACTGCACCAGGTGACCTCCGCGGCCACCAGCTGGAGCAGAAACAGCTGCAGGCACAGCAGAAGCAGTCAACTCACCTGCCACAGTCTGCTCCAAGCAATCCGTGTTCTGTTCGCAGTGCTTTTCTCTGAATGGCGCCACTAATTTGTTGAACGTTCACCCTTGCTGTATTTATCTGCTTTCGCAGTTTTCAAATTTCTATATCTTGCAATTGATCTTGATTTAAAGTTGCAACCTCTACATCTTCCGCTGTCAATACAGGTCTTCTGGCTTCATCAGCTTCCCATCTCTCTCCAGTTGCTCTTCTTCGTCCTTGCTGGAGGTGGTGGAGAGAAGTTGGATCTAAGGCGCTAAACTCAAGATCAAGCGAGACATGGAGTACACACGATAATTTGGCATCCTGTACTCCATGTCTCGCTTGATCTTGAGTTTAGCGACTTAAATCCAACTTCTCTCCACCGCCTCAATTTTCCTGCTTTACCCGATGTGTGTTTTTCCCCCATTGGTCACAACAGTCTACTTTTCCTCTTAGAGTCCTGATTGCCTCCACGGCTGTAATTCATGACCAGATGAGATCACTCTCCGATTTCCATGACATCATTCCCCATGACATCGCGTACCTTCGACGTCATGTCGTCATCAACTTGTAATGATATTTTCAGCTTGGTTCGTGAGAACCGATAACCATTCCAGTAACGCTCGACAAGCAGCCAATGTACTCGTTTTATAGATGGGTTCGCGGAAGGAGGCATCACAGAATTGCTTCTGAAATTCTTTAAAGTGACTTCCTATCTACACTAGGGGGCAGCACTTTCCCATCTGCCCTGCTTTAGAGGACTTCAATTTAACCAAGTTTAGCAGAAAACCATGGGTGGAGTTTGGGGGGGGGGGGCAATAATTAATAAAGGTGTCCAGTTCGGGGCAATACCCCCCAAACTGGGCACCTTTATTAAATTATTTTTAGCCGTTTACAATTAAGATTAAAATAAATAATTTAATGATATGCACCCGCGATTCTTCATGTGAGGCACAATGCAAACCCCTGCTCCCCCCCCCCCGCCAAATATAGAAGTCAAACTCCGACTATGCAGAAAACCACATTTAAAGCTTATTTTGTGTGTGAAGGCATTGGTGCGTTTTTTGAGCAGTCACTGGTAACTGGGCTGAGACCATTATGTCGCAAACACTGGGAACTTGGTTTAATCGGAGGCTCCTGCCGAGATTCGAACCGAGAATTTCAGTGTTGCCAGCTCGGCACTCTTAACCTCTAAGCAACCTGGCCGCCTCATGAATTGAAATTTACGTAGAAAATAAACAAACACCTTAAATCAATCAGAGTACTGTACAATATATAAAATTGAGTGTATAAATCCTGCTGGCAATTTCCATCATGCATTAAATGCACAGTTGCTGCTGATGGAGCACACACGCTAGATCTGCAGCATGCGTGCTGCTTATCTGTCAACCTCGTCCCACGTGCTTTCCCAAGCACCGCAGATGTGTGCCACCAAAGTAAAAGCGCATGCTTTCAAAGTGTGCGCTTGTGGATTCCACTTTTAATAAGATACGACACTGTACGGTTTAGTTAAAGTTAATCTAAACCCGAAGCAGTAACTTTTATAAAAAAGTAAGTACGGTATTTGAAATATTTGATTACATGTGGTCAGCATCGCGAAAATGTATTCACACGATTGCCGCTTACTCGTGCTTAGGGTCGCCTGACATGGCTTAAAATAACCTTTGGGGATTAAGCATTGGGATGGCAAGGAGAGAAGGAGAGATCACGTGCGAGTGTAATTATGGGATAAGGTTTCCGGCGATTTAAGTGTGATATATTCATTGTCTGGGGGGTCAAGTGGTGAACCATTGGTGGGTGTATAGTGCTACAAACCCGGTGACCCCAGTTCGATTTCTGGCCACAGCTAACATCAGTGGTAGATGGTATCTGAACTGGCCCTGGGAGCCCCTAACCTCCTATCATTACACACCCGTACTCACCAGTGTGGCACTGCGGTGAAATTGTGGTCCAACAACCCCCACAACTGACACAGTATCGGGAGGCCTTTATCCAGAAGTGGATTGACTAAAGGTTGTAAATAGTTTTCATTGTTTATATTCATCTTCTGTATTTATTTTAGACGAGGTAGGCTGTGTCATAATAAACTTCTAAATTACATTGTTTGGCATGTAATGCTTTTTAAAAAAAATTGGTACACTTTAAAAAATACAGTAACATACCGTACAACGTAAATTTAGATATATTATGATTTCATAATAAAGTATTTTGTACCTAAATTTCCATTTAAAGCTTTCGTGACTGCAGTAATTCATATTCTTAGCTCTTTATTGTTTCCCTTCAACGTGACTTTATCGAAAGAGCTAAGAATATTTTGTACCTGTTCACTGAGACTGATATTGATATGACGGAGATGACGGCACTTTGAAGATATGGAGGTTGCCTTTTATATTTATCTCACAGTTGCGTCTATTTTTGCATCGTGACTGCACGGTACAAAAGTTTTTTTTTAAACATTTTATTTTCAAATCAGATTATGGTCATGGAAATGTCTTCTTTCCTGACGACTGACGAAGCACTCGCACCGCACTTCAAGTGTAGTCCTCTTGCCATGTTGAGTGCTTCATAGTGATGTGTGTCTTCACAGGAGGATGCCGGTGGCATGTCCAGCCAGCCTCCACGCGCCCTTCTCTCTGTCACCAGCTGCTTCGAGCCCTCGCCACAGCACAGCTCATACGGGCAGCCAGGTGCGTTGAGGGCCAGATCAAAGTTGGATGGGCGCTGTTATAATTTTAAGTGCCCATCGTTGTTTACCATTTAATCACCACCCGTACCGCATGCCAAACATTGTTAGTGTTGTTGTTGTTGTTTACTTTGGTTATATCAATTTTGCTTTTTAAACGTGATGTGCAAATTGTAAAGCTAAGTCAAAGTTAAAATGAGCAAAACCTTGAATTTAGGCATGCAACTGATAGGCACGAGTAATACACTTTATTGTGATGCTACGGTTTTATTTACCAAATTATTCACGAGGAATTACCAGTGCTACAGTTTTGCGCTTCAGCCATTGTAAAGCAGTATACGTTTTTGTGGGCCCTCAAAAACCCGAGGCCGTGGGCTGAAGCCCTTGAAAAGCCTCTCCATTAACCCAGCCCTGGTTGTGTTCCTCAGTCACTCCATGCCACTACCCCGCTGCTTCCCACCCCCATCGTGTACACTCAAACCCCTATCAATATTGGCATGTGCATATTGAACCACAAAACATTTTTCACCACCTTGGATATTGGTTATCTTCTAGACTCTGCAGCAATGATGCCAGCTGTGTAACCCGGACGAGGGGTAATGGAACTTTTTTTTTCTTATCACAGTGGAAGTTATTTTAATGTGCCCTCAAAAAGCCAAATTATTTTTGTGAGCTGCAGGACAATCTGCAGCCACTTCAAGTAGCAACAGCATTCCACTCATCCTTAGCATAAATGTAATGTTGCTACTTGTGTGCTGTCTGCTTTAAAATATAAACTTTAACAGGGAAGAGGAACACATTAACAATGGACATTTTAGTAACAGACCCATCGATATCCACCTCTGCGTTTACCCAAGTCTGCTTACTCGAGCACAGACACCAGAAGTAATTTTGTGGAACTCTATACGTTCTTTCGCATGCACCCCACAGTCCAGTGTCCCAGGGGCTTCATCAATGTAAAGTTGTGGGAACATGAGGCCACTTTCAGGATCAGTGGCTTGAAACTTGGTTGCAGGAGACCAAGTTTCAGCCAGATTTGGTTTTGCAAAACATTGCCAAGGTACGTAAATGTTCTAGGATTTAGTCACGTGTGTATCCATCAAAGTTTCCAGTGAAGATCATGATGCCTGCAGTGGAGTTTTATCAGTTAAAGGGAGTATGGGTCTATTACATACCTAAATCCATGCAAGTTGATTTATTGGTGAAAATATACATTGCAAGCTGTTATTATTATGAATGATTTGTTACCATTTACTTATTTTTTTTATCACGAATGCTGCACATGGGCCCATAATGCAAAGTGGCCAGGAATGAACAGCACTCTTGAAAGCATTATACATAGTTTGTGTTTCTTGAATCGAGCAAGATTATAAGAACTTGGAGAAAGACAGACTATGGGGGAAAGGATTCCAAGGTTGAGCATTGTGAGGAATGTTTAGTCCACAATCTAAAAACCACTTTTCTTGAAAAGTGTCATGCTGTATCATGGCCCTCTGTTGCATTTGCTCGAGGGATGAATTGCATGATTGTCACGCCCATATAACCGTGCATGTGGTAACATAAAAATTTCAACTGCGTATGTCAGTGAAATGGTGACTTCAAGCACAATGGTTTCAAATGATACCTCAGGACAGGAGAGATCAAAGATCGTTCCAAACCATTAACCGATCATTTTTTCACAATTGTCCGTAACCCGTATGACAAGACAATTTCCGTTCAGTTTTACGAGCATCAAAATGACACGGGCCTCTCATACCAGGCAGAGGTGAGAATAATTTTGCAAACGAGCTCTCGGCAAGGTCCTGGCCTTAACCACACTTTAATAAATGTGTTCTTGAAATACACAAATCTTACCGATACATTAGTTACTGTAATTTAAGGGGGTACAGTGTATTGAACATTTTATATCGCCCATAAACATTTATCACGATAGGCACGTTGTTAACAAATTAAGAGTTAAATCATGGTATTATGGATTAGAAATATAGCCTTTCTTGAAGGCACTACTGGATTGTACATGTTGAGGAGTTAGGTGAGAAAATACCTTAAACAGTGCTAAATGTGTTTCCCTTTAACTGTCATTTTAAATACCGTGCGAGCATCTTCACAGTGGTTAGTGACACTCCAACTTCAAAGCCTGGAGGTCTCGCCTCCATAGCCTTCCCAAATGTCACCCGCGCTGCTGTAGTCAACGAATGCTGTTTGTGCGACACAACCATACACAGTGACATTTACAGCGGTGACAAGCCTCCGATGTGTTTTCGAGTCGAACTGTGCGTTTGTTCGGTACGTCGCCTGACGTTTCGCTCCAATGCGTGCTCGAACCGAGTCGGTTCAGGAACTGTGAATTGCTCCAAGCTCTGAAGCAGCTCCCAGCGTGTGGGACCAAATGTCGGGACATTATTCCGAGCAACAACACCGGGAACAAGTTTAGGAGAAAAACACATCAGAGGACCACACAGCACAACCGTAAAAAAACCCTACTACAGTAATTTTACTAGAGCGATGCCAAATGGTCCTACATTCTCCCAAAAAATATTATGCAAAATTGACCACCCAACATGTGCCCTTACACCAACACATCCCACTTTACAAATTATTTACTTTTAATTTTAAATGTTTTTTTTACAATGTTTAACTCCGAGCTGTGTTGACAACGTTACTTTTGCTCAGTCGTAATTAAAATGCAGCAGTTTCTGTATGATGAGAAAATCTATCATAACAGGAATATGCACACTAATGGTGTGCTCATAAAGCAGGAATGCACAACTCCCATCATGCCTTGCATGCATGTTATGATGTGATCACCACAAAGTATCCAAAATACTATCAGCCTTATGTAGGCCACCATCTCAAGAGCTGAAAGTGGGATCAAATTAATAGTTAAGACCCTCAATTCAAAGGGTTTTTAAAAAAAAAATATGCAGCCTTCCTATGGCATGGCAGCCGATGGTCGAGCCTAACGGATGGAGTGGCAGCCAAAGATGTAAACACAACTGAGGCCATTTCCACCGCAGACATGGAGACATGAGTTCAACGGACAGGCAGAAGGGATGTGGATTGTTGTACTTGTATGACCGTGATGCGGTGGCGTCGAATCGGGTAGGCCTTCATCTAGCAGTGGATATATCTTGGCTAATGATGATAATGACTACACTATAGCATCATATTTTTCATGCTTTAGCTGTACAATGATGCGAGCGTTTATTTCAGCAGCATAGGTAGAGGAAAACGACTTTGGTTACTACTTTTCACGAGGGAGACACACAGAATGCAGTATACAGTATGTCAGAGGTTTTTTTTTCGTTCACATGAACGCCACGTGTGTATGTGTCGGGGATAAACAATTATCGAACTGGATTTTAATGTTTAACAGCAAGTTATGCATTTTAACTTGGCCACACACTATACCCACATGAAACATTAACAGAACATTTACTCGGACTAGGGTTTACAGAAATATTCTACGTGTCTTGGATAAAAGCCAAACACTGAGGATGGAAAAGTACCAGCTATCTTATCATTCATACCAATCTCAATTGGGCTCATTCCAACCGACCTGCTTTTACCTCTTCATGACCTACTTCTCTCCCATTTGACATGTGTGCACGCCAAGTCAAAAATAAACTGCCCGTGCTTTTGATTCACCTGGCGATATGAATACGTGATGGCCATCGACTTAGCACAACATTCAATCGTGTCCATTGTCCAGGCTTGCTGATCCTCTGAGGCCGGTGGGACAGGCTTCCAGAGACCATACTCCTCGTTCAGAGGTTGCAAATGTAAATGTTTCCTGTAAATTTTTACTCATTAACGTTGCATCATAGCAGTGCAATACAGGGTTTGGGTTTATTCAAAATCAGGCGAAAGGAAAATGCGATGGCACGTCATCCACTGTGGAATGGAGCTAAGGATGTGGTGGGAGTGACAGACTCGAAATCTTTCACGGAGTGCAAGCACTCATCCACTGAGCTGTCGACACCACCTGCATCCGACAGTGAAAACCATGCACTTTGTACGTCAGCTCAGTTGTGGACGAGTTGAAAAAAAACTCTTAATAGAAACTCCATCTGCATATATGTAGGCAGAAACGATTATCGAACTATGTTTTAATGTTAAGCTGCATGTTGCGTCAAGACCCTAAACAGTTACTGTAAGTATTCAGTGAGTTGAACATGTAATCAATGTAATTAATTTCTCTCCTGTAGTTCCATTTCTCTCTCACCAAAATATTTGTATTATCAAAAGAGTCCTTAATTTTGTAGTTTGGATGTGCAGCTCATTACATCCCGCAAATGGTTTGAGTGAATTTAGATCGTACTGTCGTGTTACTTGAAGCATCGATGCATCATCTCGTGTTACTTTAAGCATCAATGCATCATCCAGTGGCAGAAGCAGCAGTAGTAGCAGCAGCGTCACATCATCATCAACTGCATAATTGTCATCATCCGTCAAAATCGACATCCCAAAAAGGGTGATTGATATGATTCCGCAATTAAACGGAAAATGTACACCATCATTGCCTCTGCTTTGACCCCTGCTCATTTTGCAATGAACAGTTCGACCGAATTGGTGGCTTTCTGTGTGGAATCCGTTGCAGGTGACAAAGGAAATGTGGATTTTAAAAAAAAGTTGATTTTGCAGGAAAATGGCCATGATTCTCCCAAAAAGGCTTGGAATGATTTCAGTTGATTTTATTTCAGTGTATTTATTTGGTATAGCTCTGTGAGACATTCGGCTCTTGAATCGGTGCAACCACAACAAACAAAAAACACGAACAAGAAAACATCTTAAAGTGACTATGTGACTGTGCAAACAGAAAATCCATGAAAAAAACAGCAAAAATATCCCTGAAAAAGCACCGTACACCAACGCTGTGTGCAAAAATCCCAGTGGGATGCAAGTCATGTCGCTATTCTGATGATGATCAGAATAGCGACGTGAATCGGGTCTTTCATATCCCTTCCATCCACCGTTGTTTGGGATGAAATAGATCACTATCAG